TATATATATATATATATTTTTTTTTTTTTTTTTTTTTTTTTTAAAGGATTCTCAGGGGCACCTGGGTGGCTCAGTCGACTAAGCATCCCGGCTCTTGATTTTGGCTCAGGTCATGATCTCACGGTGCAGGAGATCAAACCCCGTGTCAGGTGTCAACATCATAGAGCCTGCTTGGGATTCTCTCTTGCCCTTCTCCCTGGCTCACAGTCTCTCTCTCTCTCTCTCTCAAAATAAATGAACATTTAAAAAAGTAATATAAAAATGATTCTTAGAGGTATGTTTGAAGACAGCGGATGATAGGTGGTAACAAGGATGTAGAGTTTTTGATGATTTTTTTTTTTTAATTTTTTTTTTCAACGTTTTTTATTTATTTTTGGGACAGAGCGAGACAGAGCATGAACGGGGGAGGGGCAGAGAGAGAGGGAGACACAGAATCGGAAACAGGCTCCAGGCTCTGAGCTGTCAGCACACAGAGCCCGACGCGGGGCTCGAACCCACGGACCGTGAGATCGTGACCTGGCTGAAGTCGGACGCTTAACCGACTGCGCCACCCAGGCGCCCTGAGTTTTTGATGATTTAATTTACTATGAAAACAAAGTTTTCTGACTTTCAAAAAAATTCTTTTAATAAGCTTTCTCCTTACCAACTACTCCCCACTCCTCAAATTTTTAAAGAGTAATGTGCTTAAGGGAAAGAATGAAGCTGGTTGGCAGAACTGCCTAAAAAGAATTAAGGGTCACTTTTTCTCAAAATCTGCATGATGTGGTTTTTACTGTTGCTTCAAGTTTGATGTGGCTTCGTTGTGCAAGAGATACAGGAGTTCGGGCCACTGAGGTCCACGCTCCTAAGACCCGTGGTTTAAACAAACCAGGGAGGCATTTGAGCTCTGAGGTCACCGTCCCACAGCAAGTGCTGTGGTCCGAGGTCTGTGTGGCCCGGGAAGGACTGGGTAACAGGCACCTGCCTTCTTGCTCTGCCCTCAGTACAAGATCCTGCTGCGCGGGTGCTGGTATGAGCTGTTCGGAGGCGACCCTGACAACCTTCCAACAGAGCTGGACGGGGGCGCCCAGGGACACCTGACGCAGCCGCTTCTGGGGGAGCAGAGCCTGCTGACGCACGGGTCCCCGACATACAGCTTCTCCAGCGACTCCCCCCTGGAGTCCCCCGCCAAGTACCCCCATCTCTACCCTCCCGGCAGGATCATCCACCTGGAGGAAGAAGGCACCTCAGGGAGGTGAGTGCGGGCGGCGTGGCTCGGTCCCCCTTGACGTGCGCTTCCAGCCAAGGGGGGCACTCCGCTAGTTCAGCTTCTGTCTGTCTCAGGTTTTGCCGCGCCGCCGCTCGGTACAGTGCGAGGTGGGCACACGAATCACAGTTCAGCAAAATACTCATCGGCCCGAAGATGTTAACGGACCACATGCCCGACGTCCTGATGAAAGCCTTGGACAGCGTGGTGTCCGACAGGGCCGCGTACGTTTTCTGTCCCCCCGGAGGTGGCTCCAACGTGGACGTGGTGTAAGTAGAGCTACTCTAAACCGCTCGAGGACGGCAGACTCACACTTTTGTTCTTACGTGGACAGTAGCAGAATGACGTCCGTGATGCCGGTGGATGTCCGTCGATAGGAATCCGACAGGTACTAGATTTGGTGGTCTTCTGAATCACGGAACGATTTGGGAAGTCATTTCGATCACAGTGTTAGCAAGATCGGGTGTCAGGAGAGAACACGGAGATGACGGGACTCGTGTAGGAAGCTTCGGGAAGCTCCAGGGCAATTCCCTGATGATCTCAGAACCGTCCCGGCAAAAGTTGGGATCCACAGCCAGGTTTAAGGACCTGACAGATCTGTGGACTCTCACCCCCCCGTCCCACCTTTTCACTGACAGGGTCTCGTCTTACCACTGTTTAGGAGTCTGAACCCGACAGACTGGATTTTCCTGGCTACACAATCTTAGTGCATCACTGTAAGGGTACGGATGGGTCTTCTCCTGGGTGGCGCTAAGGGTCAGCCCCGAGGTCAGGCTGGGAACTGGGGCCACTGCTCCTCGGCGCTCCAGCCTCAACATCAAGCTGCTTTATTTTCACCTATTACTTTGGCTTTTGGACGTCAGCCAGTGGATTCCGAGGGAGTTTATAATAAAGCACTTACACGTGTCGTTCGTGTCTGTACAGTGACATACTCTTCCCCTGGATGTTTGCGGGAAGGCCTGTTTTACTGGCTAGTTTTACAGCAATCGCGTTTGAAAAGCTTTCTGTCTGAACAAAAATGAAGTCTTCTTGGATAGTTTTTTTCTTGGAGCTCTGGGCTAAAGACTGAGATTGCAAAGACATCTGATTTAACCCCACCGAAGCGCTAGGAAATGACGGTAAATTGGTCTCTTTAAAAAGCATAAATACACCAGGATGGGGAGAGAAGAGAAAGAACAAATGGTTGATTGGAGGAAAACAGGATCTTACGTGGAGGAGGAAAGACCAGAACTGCCCTGGTTTACAGCTCAGATTCCCCAGGCACCTGGGACAGAGCGCGGCACAGGACTAGTCAGGTGAGCTGGTCTGCCAGAAAGCTGGAAGAAATCTGGCCCTTGGTTCGCAATGGGGTGGAGGGGGCCCCGGACAGCAGCGCACTTGAAGGCAAGGGGATGAGGTCTCTCAGCTTCTCACCCTTGTATGCCAGAACCTTCATGAAGATTCTCCAAGTTATCTGACCTCTAGAGACCCTTCCCTCAGGGCCTTTGAGCTGTCACAGCCATTAACGCCTTAGGTTCCACAAACCTGCAAAGGCCCATTTAGAAAACTCCAGTTGAGATGCCACGGTAATGTCCAGTTGCTGTGAGTTTGGGTTCTAGACACAGTTCCTGTAGTTCCTGTACACTCGGGGCAGAAAGCTGACAGATCTAAGACGCCCGTGGACGCCACCTGTGGGCTTGTTTCCAATCTGCTTTGTAAAGGCTGTCGACCTTTAAGCCCGAGGCCAAGGACCACCAGGCACGTGAGCGACAAGCAACCAGGAGAAACTTCCAGCTACCCCCACCACAACTTGCGGACAGAGAAGACAGATCCCGAGACTGAAAAAGTGGCAGATAATGAGAAAGAACACCTGAAATTTAAAGGAAAAAAGATGAACTCCAAAGCAGCCAGGCGGCGGCCACCTGCAGAAGGGCAGGCAGGACAGAGGGGGAAGTACAAGGGACAGCAGCCGCACAGGGTGTGCAAGGCGGGAAGACATCCCACACAACTGCAGTGGCCAAGACGTGAGAGCACGGGTTCCCCACATGCTTCTTTCTCAGGAAACACCCGGAGAATGTGTTCAGCAAGAGGAAGCAAGTTAAGAGACAAGGAGCCGGGGGCACCGGCTGGCTCGGTAGGTAGAGCAGTGCCTCCTGATCTTGGGGTCGGAGTCTGAGCCCCACGTTGGAGGTAGAGATTACTAAAAAATAAACTCAAAAAAAAAAAAAAAAAAACCCCAAAAACATCGACACATAAGAAAAGTGGTGGCCAGAGGATTCTGAGACTTTAGGAAAATGCAAATTGCTGAAACTCAGCAAACATCCTGAGGAATTTCGGTATCGGCTGGAAGTCTGCAGTTAAATCGCGAAGCACACAGAAGAGCAAATAGTCTTAATTATCCTCAAAGAAACGAGTAGTTGTGCAGCATAGTCCTGTTCCTCAGTGGCTCAGCCAGGCGCATCTGCACAGTAACAAGGATGCTAAATAGCAAACACCAACCAGGATCAGGAAGGAAAGGTATGCCGGGGGCGGGGTGCCACTGGGAAAGAGCCGGGGCTCCTGGGAGGACCAGTGGTAACGGCTGAAACTGAAAACTGCAACCAGCACCAAAGTCCTGTGACTTCGCCAGACCCCCACGGAGGGGAGAGGGGCTGGAGGGTGAAGCAAAGAGCCGGCGGTCGCATCAGGCACGCACGCCTGTGATGAAGCCTCACCCAGCGGGACGGGTCCAGAGAGCTGGTGGTTTGGATCGGGTCCAGAGAGCTGGCGGTTTGGATCGGTGAACACGGGGAGATTTGGGGTGGGGAGGGAGCTGGGAACCGCGTGGGGGCTCTGTGTTCTCCCCCACACCCGGCCCTACGCATCCCTTTTTGCTAAGCAACTGGTGATAAAAACTGGTAGGTAAAAAGCTACATCACTTAGCCGTATGGAGATAAAACGAAGGTTAAAAGAACTCAAACTGGTTGCCTTGGGGGAGGGTGTGATGGGAGACAGCGGTTTTTGTAGCAAACCTTCAGAACTACGTGGTCTTGAAACTGCCTTTTAAAAACATCTTTAAAAAATACTCAAAAATAAAGCAATCCTCAGAATGATATAAAGGATTTAGAAAATGGATTCTGACATGACCTGTTCATTGAAGTACAGTTTCAGGCTTAAAGTCATAATCGGCCTCCTTCCCCCTTTTCGGGCTCCCAACAGCTGCCAGCTTTAGCCCAGAGCTCTGGCCCCAGTTGAACGAGCACCCATGTGGATGCCCCACCCGCATCCGAAGGTCCCAAACCCAGCCTGACTCCCCAGCATGAAAACCTGCACTGGAAATAAGTGTTTCCAAGCGCCTAGGATTTCAGGTGAGGCAAACGTACACATACCCCAGGAGGTCGTTCGAGCTCTCAAGAATTCAAGTATTACAGTCATATGATTCAAGGATTTATTAAGTCACACATGCAAAACATAACTGCTAATTGCATTAGCAAAAGATCAATGTAAAAACACTCCACAAGTCTGCAACGGTCAATTTAAAAAACTTTGTTCTAGTGGTTGAAAGGTCCAACCTTGGATTCTTGCCAGCGGGTAAGTTGTACAGAACTTGGTTAGCACGAGCACGGGCTTACAGAACCTCACAGACCCAAAGGAACGTGGTTGATTAGGCAGAGCAACAGGAAGCGTGTGTCCGGGGGAAGGCGGCGAGGAGGAGGGTCAGCATTAGTCAAGGTACAGTACTGGTGATCTGGCAAGACAGTGATGTTACGAAAGTTCATAGTTTAGGAATATCTAAAATATTTCAACAACTGTAAAGCTGCAACACATGATTTTTACACCTAGTTACTAGAAAACTAAGGAAAGCGCTTATTAGCTCTGAATAAAGTAACAAGGGAACAGGAATGCACTTTCACTAACCTACAAAAAAAAAAAGTCTAATGCATTATCAGAAAGATTTTATAATACAAGGAGGCATATTGCTCATTAAGAAGGGGTTCTATAAGAAAAGCACTAAGTCAGCAACTATGGGAACGACCAGTTCAAAGATGAATTAAATGCCCGATCTCAGAAGGGATGGAGTCTAAGAAAAAAAGCTTAAAACACTTAGTGAGGATACCGACCTTTCATCATTTACTGCATCTGACAGAAATTAACCTTTTTAAGATTTTACCCGTGACACTTTCAGTTTAGTAATGACGTGCACAGTGTAGTGTTTTGTCAGAATACTGTCTTCGTCCTCTGATCGCGTCCCGTGGCCCGCACACCCTCCCCAGGTGCCCATGGCCACAGCGGACCCTTTCATCACACGGGCGGGAGCCAGAGGGCGGTTCCAAATCTCAGCAAAAGCGAATACACTACTTCAAAAAAAAAAAAAAAAACTCACTACAAAATCAAAAAGATTGATCAGAGAGCTGAGTCATTACGCTCGTTCCAGGAGGACACACAGCTCGGTGCTGGGGGCAGCCGGGCTGCGCCAGGCGGCCAGTCTCCGGAAGGAGGCTGGGGGCTCTCCTGGCAGAGACCAGCCAGCAGGGTTCTTCTGTGCGTCCGAACTTGAGAGGCTGGCTGCGGTCTCTTCTCAAGACAAAGGTCTTAAACGGTTTAGTGCTTAGTGTTCTCAGCACAACAATGCAATTTAGTTCACAAGGTATTTTGGCAACTCTTAATCTGAGCAAGAATAGGGGCTTCTGAAAAATAAGGCTTTAAAAAAGCTTGCCATTTTAGGGCTAAATTTTAATATAATGTGAAAGTTTGAAGTCTTACACTTTAAACAAAACCTAAAAATTACTGATTGGTTCAAAATGGTTTTATGGAAAAACTAATCTGTAACAAAAACTTGGCATTGAGTGCGAAGGCTCCACCATTTTTGAGCAAAGCGTACAAAGGTTCTGAGGGGGGCAGGGCAGGAGAGGGGCCCGGACATTTACAACAGCAGGCATTTTCTCTTCCTCTTCTTGACGGGAGGGGGGCAGAGAACCGCTCGAATAGCTTCATCAAACACTGTCTTGAGGCCTCGCTGCGTGAGCGCCGAGCACTCCAGGTATTTTACAGCACCTGCCGGGAGACAGCCTCTTTCAGCCCCGCTCTTCTCACCCGGACAAGGACGAAGAAGCAGCTCCCCGGGCCCGCCACCTGCCGGCACGTGTGGCCCAGCGGAGCAGCCCTGACCCTGCACCCACCTGGTGAGCGTCACCACGACCCTGAGTCGGAAAACACGCTACTTCCCCAGACTGGAGTCCAGTCTGTCACGAAAATAAAACCCGTGCAAAGAAAGCAGACGTGAAAATGCAAGGATTTCCTACCGATCTCCTTCGCCATGGCCAAACCCTGCGGGTAGGTGATGGGAGTCAGCTTTTTCTCCTTCAGTTTCTCAATCGTGTCTTTGTCGTCCCTGAGGTCAAGTTTAGTTCCCACCAAGATGATGGGGGTGTTGGGACAGTGGTGTCGCACTTCAGGGTACCACTAGATGCAAGAGAGAAGAAAGTCATGACACGTTCCCCTCCCTCATGAACTTTCTTTGCCTAAACGATACCCATCTGGGTGCCCAACTGACCCCACCACCCCACCTTAGTCCCTCAGCGCTTTTGGCAGGAACCGCCCCTCCTGCCGTGCTCACGCCACCCTCCCCTTCAATACTTTCAAGAACCACAGGCCTGCCTACCTGTGGGTGTTTGATCAGCAAACCAGGATTCCAAGACTAAGACCCAACAGAACAGGCTCTACTTGTCAGTGTTGGGGGGGAGGGGGTAGGAAGGGAAGGTCTTCCTTCCCCAAAAAACTATCTTTTGGTAAAATGGGTCAAGCTCTTACATGAACTCTGAGAATCCTACCTACATATATTCAACAGTGAGCATGAATTATGTGGACTGAGGTCTTAGCCCTGCCACCACTACTCTCACTGGACACATCCCTGATCACAACGAACATCCCGCGCATGGCACTTTTCACTGGAAGTGTGTGAAAGACGCAGGAGAGGAAAGTCATGGCCGCTGTTTTAGCAGATGACTCCATCGGATGGACTCGAAAGTGTTATTTTAACAAGGGATGCAGCGTTTCTGAATCAGACCCTGAACTTTAGAATTCTACATAATAAAGTCAATGATTTCAAAAATTGATCTACCTAAAGTAGAATTACAAAATCATTAAAATTTCTATCACTAAATGGTAGTTTCACCTCCCAAAGATGACACTATGTAACAAAACATTGGTCTAAAACATCCCGGCTTACCTTTGCTCGAACATTTTCAAATGACGCAGGACTCACGAGAGAAAAGCAAATTAAGAATACATCCTATAAAGAGGAAAGAGAGGCATTTAGAAATGATCTCACGGTGACGAGCGCGCTTTGCTTCGTAAACACTGTGGGGACGATTCACGAGACGAAGTGCATGTTATGCACCAGCAGTCCGTGTCTAAAGCTCACTCCCTGGTTACAACCCTTCAGTTCTGTCAGAAGCTCCCAGACCAGAACCAGCACATGAAGCAGCCAGCTACTTACGAGAAGAGGGGAGAGGATTTACTAGAATGTGCTAGCATTTCCTAGAGACTGGAGAGGCCTCCAATCAGACCCCCAGGAGGCCTCTTCCTTCACACTCCCAACTCCCACTGGCAACTTTAATGCTCTTATTTATATACAGGGACCAAACCAGGGTCAAGGTACCACTCATTTCTGTAAAACGTGGTCTGTTTTTCAAAAGCAGAGTCGATTTTAAAAAACATGTATAAATGGTACGCTTTTCATTAAGCTCCCGGGTGCACATTAAGTACACTTTCAGTTGACCGCTGGTTTGCAATTAAACTGCTTTAAGAACTGCCACCGGGGTCCCCGGCACAGAGTGGGGTCCGGCTGTTCGCTGAGCACCTTCCGCCGTGACGGAGGTTCCCGGGTGTAAGCGGCATCTTCCCGGCTGTCGGTTCTGAGCCCCGAGCAGGGCTCTGGAGGACTCGACGCTGGGCAGTCGTAGCCGAAATAAAGATTCAGAGGAAAAGTCCGTGCAGAATAAATACCTGGAAGAATTTCCGACTAAACATAAAACCTCTGCCCCACTCTATTGTGTCGAGTCAAATTTAAATATTTAGCTGTATTTAAAATGCCTAAGAGTTTCTAAAATGCTAGGTTTATAAATCCCTTTCCTAGAAAAAGGCAATTCTGCTACTTTGTGAAATGTATCTTCTCCCAAGCTAACACAATTCCCAAGCTAGCACTTTCAATCATCCAGCTGATCCCT